AGCTGAACAGGCCAAGTTGGAGTTACTTAAATCTCTGGTCTTTTGTTAGCATATGTCAATGCTAGTCTACATTTATGAACACAGTAGATATCCTTTAGTGTACAGTATTATTTTCAATAGCTTTAAAATAAAGATTCACATTATTACTCTATACATATTTCACAGAGGTGAAAGTTAGTTCAGCTAGAATTCATGACACAACATCCTTTTAAAACCTTATCGCCAACGCTAGAGTTGATATGCCTAGACATTGCATTGCATTTGTCCAGCCTCAAAGTGATGATAAAGTTGACAACTTTTTTTGCTTTCCCCAAGTCTACGTTTCTCATTAGACAAACCAGCAAAACCCCCTCGCTTTAATAGCAACAGCAGTCACAGCAGCACAAGCTGTTTTTGAGAAAAGCTGTCCTTCCACTGAGCAAGACATCAACAGAAACACATGAGCACACTATAGTACATCAAACATCCACACCTGTTTCCCTGGCAACACTTGCAAACCTACAAGAAGTAACTGCATCAGACAGGAGGAAACTCAGAAGAGAGGAATCATGCCTGCACTTCAGGGCTGTGTCACTACTACGCTGACAATAAACACAACCCACGGAGATCAAAGCCACAGGTGAATGGAAACTGGAGTACAAATGTCTTCCTGTAAGTCTGACCAGGAAAGGAGAAAAGCCATGGTTTAGCAGTGCTGAGATTTGATAATCAGTTAGGAATTATAAACCTGTGAAACAAAAAAATACCAGTAAAATGCAGCCATAAACATGGTAACCCTTTTTTTTTTATTATTATTTTACTGTTATCTCACATCTAATGATTGCATGATATATAGTACTGGTGGGTCTTTTTCTCCTTCAGCCTTTAACCATATGGCTCAAATTAAACAGTTCTTTGTTTAAGTCATAGGCTATGCTGCATATGTCTCATGATCAGCTGTAGAATACTGCTGACAGGCACTGGTTTCCCACCCAGAAATGGCAGGATGCTTAGCTCTCTCCACTTGCTTCTACAGACTCTCTTTAGTCTGGTCTTCTTAAATAAAATCACTGTGAAAAACTTTTACAGCTCACCCCTTTTGTTCTTGAGAACCACAGAATGGACAACTTGGGGTGGCTGCTTTCACTGCAGCACCAAACAGGCAGGCATCCATCTCAGCACAGAAACCACATTTCATAAACCATCAACAGTTTGCATAAAGTGCTGCATAATCATAATAACAGATGTCAGGAGTCTGAGAAACTGAATCTCTGGAAAGTATATTTGACTTTTGCTCCTATACTCACATTTAAGAAGCATAATAAACAACTGCATTTTCAGTGATTTTATGTATAGATGGATGACTTGCAAGGTCCTGATTCTCCTAGAGTGGAATATAGTACATTTTGCTGAGAAGTTACAAATTTGCTATTGACTATACGTTTTATATTTTCAGAAGGCATATTTAAAATATGTCATATTAACCAAGCTGTATTCATTGATCTTCACCCATCCTCATTTTTATTGGAAGAATGCAGGTAACACTGAACTTTCTTGGTGCCCTCTTTCCATAAATTTGATTCAGCTTCTCATCCATTTTAACTGAGTAATTTCCTAGAATATAGCTATGCAGTAAACTGCCTCAAAAGCCAACCAAAAAACCCCAACCCTCTAATAAACCAAAAGCAAAGGAAACAGCCAGCAGATAAATCCCTTCAAGTACTAAAATTATTCAGGATAAAGCAGCATATATTAACAAAAAAAGATAATAAACATGTTAATTTGCTTTAAATGCTTACAGCATCTAAAATAACAAAGACAAAATTAACTAAAAAAATAGTTAGCAATAAACTAGTATTTGAATGATCACTGATTACTTTTTAAATTCATCTATGATTTAACATGATATTTGAAGATCCCAATTACCTATGGACATGTTTAAATGATCAGTGGCCTCCATTAACTTCCCTCTGGACACATTAGATGTCCAAGATCCTTCCAGTGTTTAGGGTTTCTACCCAGACCACAGTTTATTTTATAGGTGGGGAAACTGAGGTACAGAACTATCAAGACTCGCCACAAACATGCAAGCAAGCCCATCACAAAGTAAATACTAAAATTCAGAATAGAGGAGAACAACAGGAATAAAGCAAAAGCACATCAAGGACAGGAGCAGCACAGCAGAATACGCTCCAGGAAAACCTTCCTGTTTTCCTCACCATATTCTCAGTCCACACAGTTTCTCCTATCAAAAGACAAAGGGCTTAAAACAGAAGTGAATTAACAGCCGCTGAATGTGTTCTCCTCTAGAATTCAGAGGCAAAAGACTGCTATGCAAAGCAGAGCTGGGTAGAAAGCTGCAAATTGAGGATTTTGCCTAATAAAAGCTAAGTTCACATAGCCCTTGCTTTCCACCTTAGAACAGTACTAAAGCATGTCCTTGATTTATATGTACTACTAAAACCTATCAACCTTTCAGCAGCTACATATTACAGCTCGTATGAGGTTAATCCAAATTCAGCTATTAATTTCTTTGTAGCATGCAAAGTAAAGTTTGCATCTTTAAACTATACTATTCTGCCAGAAAGCGTAAACTTCATTTAGCAAATAAAAAATAGAGATACGCTTATGACAGTTGGCTTCTCATAAAAAGGATTCTGGGAGAGAAGAAACTGCCATGATAAGAGAAATATAACTAATGACCAGTAATTCTTACAAGGACACAACCAGAACCCATCAAAAATCCTTGCTAACCACAGCAATAATGTGAGAATACCAGCCTCACAGGGGTCAAATACTTGACTTTCCCCTGCTACTTAACACTTTTACACAGAATCGTCATTATTCTTTATCTCTTAAGTTCCTGCAAACTGGAAATGAACTGAAGATAAGGTTTGAGACATGGATCTACATCATCGAAGGAAGATTTTGCTTGTAGCATCCCAAATTGTTCTTGCTCATTAGATACTACGAAAACCACATACTATGAGGCCCCTGGGATGTGCTTTGCAATTTGTGGTAAATACCCAATAGTCTCACCAGCAATATGATAATAAAGATTGTGTCATCATCAACTATAAAATGTAGCATCTTGGTATATGCAAATTAACAAGCAACAATGGACCATTACACAAAGTCTTACCAGTCCCTTTCTCTCTGCAGTAAAGCTGTACTAGCTGAGCTTCTGTAATCTTTAGCAGCCAAGAAGACTAAAACTAAGGGGCAACTCTACAGAATAACTAACACAATTAGGTGTGTATTCAAACTTATCTATATAGGCCAATTAGACAAATCTACATTCAGAATAACAGCTAACGCAGACATAGCAGTATGTGCAAACAGCAAGGCTATGCTTTTCTGCTTTCATGATTGGTTATATTAATTTTAGTTGGGCCATCTGGCAGAAATGTTTGATTAAAGCTGAGGGAAAATGTATTCATTTGTATAACCAGTATCCTTCATAGCCTTTTTATTTCTCATCTTTTGCTCCCTTTTATTAGAAGGCTGAATACAACAATCAGAATTTACCAAGAGAACAATTAGTTCAGCTCATCTTTTACCTAATTAACTGCCATTTAATCTGAAGGTTGAGGCTACAAATGATGTGCAAAGTGGGATATTGTCACTAAACATCATGAAGCTGACAAAAACTCAAAGCCAAGAGGTTAAATTAGGTTCTAAAGGACTATTTGGATAAGAGTTATTCTCTCTCCCCTCATGCTCCATTTCCCCATCTGATCTTGATGACAGAAAAGGATTTGGTATTATCAGCTGTGAAGCCACTGCACAAAGTTGCAGCAGGAATATTCAACAAGCTGTTCCTCCCACACTCACCTACAAGAAAGACTCCCAGTTCTAAGTAATATGCTCCCTTATTACACTCCTCTCAGGGTCATGAATGCAGCAGCTGGTAAATGGTAATAGAAGAGCTTTAATATTGTCAGAGTAGCCCATTAATGCTAAAAGGAGTTGCAAGAATGAAGTCACCCTTGAAATTGATACATAAGTACCTACAAAAATTTCCTATGGCTATTTACAAAGGGAGGAGCAAGAAGACCTGAAAATAACCATCCTGGAGAATATGTGGGATAATAAATGCTGCATCTGCACCTCAGGCCATCCTGAAGCATAACGTTTATGCCTCCTTTCAGCACAACTGTGGGAAAATTCATGACTCCAATATTAAAGAAATACAGTGTGAAATAATTCCCTGAGCTAGCACCAAAATTCATGTACCTTTTAGTCCATTAATAGGGATCATAATCTAAATATATTAAATGCACATAAAAGTACAGTATTTAGGCAAAATACAGGCTATAAAAATAACATTATACATGAAAGGCTAGCTACCAAGCAAGTTCTTGAAATTCATACATCTCCTGAGGGTAGCTGGCAGGCTTGTAGGAGGGATTAACAAGTACAGAAAGAACTTGCAAACTTCAGAGCTTGAGGTCAGTTTCGGAGAGAAACTTGGAGGAAATTACCTATTGGCATATTGCTTCAAAAACATTCATTAAAATTAAAATTCAAGTGTTTTTTTCTGAAACACTTGTTATTATGTTGTAAGGGTACAATACTATGTATGGGCAGCTTCTACTTTGTCATAACTGTTTGTGTCCAGACTCTTATTTCACAGCAATAGGGTGGCCAGTCATTTTTATTGAAACTTCCTTGCCTTAACTATGGGATAAAGAACATATGAATGACCAGCTACATTAGCCAGTACACAACACCAAAATAACCTTTTTTGCACACCCACACACATTCATGCTTTAAAACTCTATATGCATTCGTGCATAAAACTCTAAACTAGGAAAAATAAGAGTAATTCATGTTTCAAGGAAGAAGACTTGCTACCAGTTTATGGATCCAGAGTTTCCAAAGAAAGAAGCTGTATTACTGTCCACGTTACAGAAGTCTTAATGCACAAAATGCTTTCCTTTGCTTTCAGTAGCCCACTGAAATTCAAATATGATTTTAACAAAAGAAGTCTGTAAGAGTCAGTAACTCCTGTCACTTACTTGGCTTTGAGTTAATGACGGCATTCTCAGCAGAGTGCTGGGGTGGAAACCTGCAGTTGTCTCCTTGGCCCTCGCTGCTGCCATACTCTATGACTTCCACTTGTCCAAGTGGTACGCTCCACTTCAATAAGTACCTCTGGCCAGTTGTCACGGTGCCACTGCTTTCATAGGAAGAGCTGGAAGATGCACAAATTACTGCTGTGACAAGCAACTATGTTTAATGGCATCCTATTTATTATTTTAGCTTCTAAAATCTGCTGTTTATCAGTCTGAGTGCCATGCAGAACTTGAAACAAATACATGCATCAGGCTGACTTTTGAGACTGACCTTTCCTGAAGTGCAATAAGCAGATATGCAGGTGCAAATAGTCTTGCTTATAAACAGCATAGGGCTGCCAATAACTGTCCCTACATTTCTATAACAAAACATAAATGACCATCTTGTAAGACCAATGTGCATTTTGATATCCTAATACAAGTGTTTAGGATGACACTTTGGCTCCATATTTTCCTAATTCTTTTGAAACAGTGCTCAAATGAAGTGACTGCTATGGTTAGAGGAGTATAAATGATGGGACCTTTGAATGACTACCGGCAGTAGGAAGGGCAACATAACCTCCCAAGGGGTTATGAGCTAATGTTTCTGCCGAGCCCCACAACCTAGGATGTCCTTTACAGAAGACCTGCTGTGGCTTCTGAGAGTAATCTCACGTGAGCTGCTACTAAAGGAAACGTGTATCGCAACAGGCATTTCAGAGGGAAGAGCACACTGGAGAAGTTCACTTGGAACAGAAATGGCATTAATACTCCTCTTCCTTTGTTTCCTTCATTCCCTTATGCACATTTAAGCACGTATTTGTCATAAAGGACAAAAGAGATATTAAAGTGAATAAAAAGAGACCTACTTCACAGAAAGGATGACTGAAATACAACAGTTAAATGCCTGGGAGAAATCAGCAAAATGCATTTATTGAGAACAGTACCTAAATGCTAGTGTTTAGGTTGTTAGCTACCTATTCACAGCAGTCATACTTTTGTTTCAATGAAGAGGCAAGTAGGAACAAAACCCACAACTGCCACAGCTTAAGTAAATATTTATAAACTCTTGATCTAGTTTAGAAGAAAGAAAACAAGACTAGGCAGGACGCAGCTGTTCAATCACTAGGGACAGCATCCACCCTCTCCAACTGCTACTACTTAAAAGTTGAGTCTCCAGTTTGAACCAGTCATCTAGACTATATGTGAAGAAGGAGCTTCTGAGGGTCATGTATTCTGTAGAAATAAATGTCTTTTGCCAGCTACAGAGGAACCAATAGAGGTCCTCAGGCTGCTGGTATGTTGACTGTTTCTGTAAAGGTTGGACAAAAGGTGGTTAAGAGAAGTGAGCTGATACATACTATGCTGCTACATGTACATGTAAAGCTTCTGAGGTCTACAGCTCCAGGGGAAATCCGGAGGCATGCACCTTGAAAACAACTGTTATAACAGAAGCCTAGCTTAGGTAAGATGCCTAATGTCTATACAGCTAAAATGAAGAGAAATAAAGCTCATCCTGCATGAGCCAAACAGGCAAGGGGCACACTCTACACCATACCTTTATTTTGAACAAAAACTTCTGTACCAGATAAAGGTCATGTCAAAACTTGCACATGATTTCCTTCAGTTCCTAACTGTATTTTGAATCACAAAATGTCATGGACACTAGGACACAAAGGTAGTTTCTTCCACCTTAAAAGCAATCCATGAAATCATGAAGGAATACACACACACAGCTTGCAGTTGGAACCCCACTCTTTTGCCAAGAAACTCACAAACCTTTGCTAGTGAATAAAGATAAAAGTCCATTCAACTACTCTAAAAACTCAATCATATAAACAAGCAGGTTGGAAAGCAAACCTTAACTGCTAGAGAAAAACATTATTAAGCTTTTCTGGAGTCAGCAAACGCCATGACACATTCATGCACAATTACCATCCCAAAGGAAGTTGCTCATAACCAGTTAATGCACATAGGAACAACAGTGCTGTGATAACTGGAACTGTTCACTTCATAAGGAACCCATAAACTTGGCATAACTGTGAACAGAGAATGAAAACAGACTGCACATTGCCACTTCCGGGACAAATACAGAAAATCCAAGACAACAATAGTATGGAAGAAGATAAAATATGAATGGTTAAAAGCAATGCTCTTGCAAACAGCAATGAGAAAAAATCCAGGTGATACTAAGCAACTGAAGAATTTGTAAAGGAAAAAGAATCACAGGATAATTTACATAAGCTTGTTAATTTTCTGAAGTGCAGTTATTACATGCATTTCTCACTCACTAACATGAAACCAAGCATTCACACGATTACAAAAAATCTGTACTGCATTCATACTTCAGTAATAAATTAAGATACCAACCCAATATTATGCTTAAGAAAAGATGTTCTTGGAAGATATTAATGCTCCACATTTTCTCTGTCAAAATGTACCATCACATAAAGCAATTAATGATACAAGCAACATTTGAATGTGAGTGTGACCTTGGCGTGCACAGAGATATAGTAACAGAAGTACAGCCAACTAAAACACAGAAGACGCTATGAAAATACGCTTTTTTCAAAGCACCTCAGCTTTAATCCTTCAACGTTTGCTCTCAGAGATAAAAGCTTTCCCCAGCTGGAACTCTGCTAGTGAGTTCCAGGTTTGTTCTGGCCACATGCATTAGCTTTGTGTTTTGTTTTGGTTTTTTAAATTTGCAGATTATGACAAGTTACAGATTTGAGAGTGTGTGACGGTATGAACTTAAGGAGGAGAAAAATCCTACCTTGGCATGCCTGTGCTCTGCTAAACACTAATATACAGCAATAACTAGAGACTGTGGAGCACTTCTACCTTAAGGACTGCAACAAAGCTGGTTATCCCTTTATTATATCTACTCCTAAAAAATCATTAACCGTAGTAAAACCAACAATAATAATTTTTTTAAAAGCGTCATTTTTTCCAGCTGAAATTGGAACATTCATTTAAAAAGCATGAATTGTCTTACCGAATATTTACTGTTGCACACATCAACACATCATTTAACATGAAAAGCCGTCGTTCTTTGGTTTTGACAATTTCTCCTTTGTCATTGTAAACCGTCTCAACCATATCATCAGTCCGGATGAGGTATCTGTTTCCACTGCTGAGTAGCTAGATTTTAAAAACAATCAACATTGTGTATTATGCAGGGCACATCTAACATCTGGTGCAAAAAAAGAAAACACAACGGGTTATCACTTGCCATCCTCATATAAGTGCCCACAGGTGGATTTGCCAAGTGAATTAAGACTCTTTATTAATTTGCTTTTCATTTAGAGAAATAGCAGCTTCTGCTGCCACCAAAATGGCCTGCAGGGATTTTCAGTCTTAATATGGAATGTAATTGCTCTGAGAATCTTTCACACAGATAAAGGTCCCCTAGCAAAAGAACAACAGCAAGAAAAACCTCCCACAATTTCTGTGGCTTCCTTCCCTCATCCCACCTTTCACAGCCCATTTAAGTGCTAAATGTGGTTCTAGCTGTCCCAGGATGGGAGGTCAGCGTGGGAGGATCAGACTGCCAAAAAATCGTATATACAAGAGACACATGGCATGTAAATATCTTCTGCTGTTGGCCTTCAAGGGCTGAGGATCAGCACTGTGTGCAAGTATGAACTAATCCTTCACAGGTCAAACACCACCTTTGGTAGTGGCCAAGAGAACAAAATGGTCCATAACTTCCTCATTTCCTATCCACCTTCTTCACTGCTTGTTACACTCTGCCTGGCATTGTTCCAAAACTATATGTGCACCCTTTTCTGATAAAGACCTTAAAACAACTGTGTTCTGGTTGACTACCACTATCCTAAAAACTACGCTTTTACGCATCACAAAAAAAAATCCTCCTTGCACTCCTTCAGCATGCACCCACTACTCCATCCCAGGATGAGTCCAGTGTGTAATCATCTGTAACTTCACAAAAGCAATAACTGAAGCATTTATGCCCCATCTCATAGGAAAGGAGGAACCATTTATGATGCAAATAAGCATATATATAAATATATCCACAGTACACATAACTACTAACAAACTCAAATGAAGAAGACTGTTCCTTCCTTCCTACTGAATGCCTTCTACAGTTCTTTAAAGACATTTCTACTGTGTGATCCAAATGCATGAAGTAGACTGGGAAGTTCCTTAAAACAAGACAGGTCTTGGACACATTCAATAGCACATCTTGAACTGACCCATAGCTGGAATCAATACAGTATAAGGAACTTGTTCCCTCCTTTACGTAGGAGTAATTCCTCAGTTCTCGGATAAATTAATAGTTGAATTTTTCCATGCAGAAAAATGCATAAGACTTTTCTATCCAGCACTGCCACAGAACACCAATACTACTGCCGCTCTTTCAGCATGCCACTCACTCCAGCACACAATGGTTTAAGCAGCGAGTCTCTTCAAGGTCACATCTCAAATCTACCACTAGAATGACCCCATGTTGGTGACATTTACATAAAAATCCACAAGTATGTCTTTGATGTCTGTTTTGGAGATCTCTCAAGGCCCACAAACTAACTCTTCCATCATACGCTCCCACTTTTCTCACCTTGTTCAGATAGCGTTCATTCATTGCTTTTGCTATTTGTTTTATTTCACAGCGCTGATCTGCATCCCTTTTCCTTTCATTTAACTTCTCTGCCAGTGTTTCTAGTTCCGTAAGAGCCATCTGTAGAGGTAATCTGTCGGGATGTCCTTTATTAGTGTTTTTCAACATATCCTGAGAGGAAATGATAAAACAAACAAAAATCAGATTTCATTTCAAAGTCAAGTTCAAAAGATTATAGGATGTACAGTTTACCACAATGTTCTTTACCTGAGTACACTTACTAATAAGACCAATGGATATCTAATGAATATTCATACAGCACATTGTTTACTGTACTATCTTAATAGTTCTTGAAAAAGATACTGAATGGGGTCATATACAGCTCATTTATAGGGCAAAAGTACAAAGAAGGAACTTGAAAATGAATATAAAAACTGCAAATGTAAATATAAATGAAAAAAATACACATAATATTAAACACAAGTTGAAAATCAGTATTATCGTATAACATGTAGGTGTCCATAAACAATGACTTAAAACTCTTCTGACATTTACTGTCATAATAATATTGTATTATCTTTATTACTGTTATTCCAAACTAACACATTGACAGCATGCTCATCTTCAGGTAGAACAAACTAGTTCACGGTGGTCACAACAGCTTCTCAAAGTCTTTCCCTTTTGTACGGATACAGTAGGAACAATTTGAATTATATTTTTTCTCATTTCCCACAGCACTTAAAAATCTCAGTGCATTCACTACTGCTTCCTGCTACAATGAATTCCATTTCTCCCGCTACCTCAAAAACTCACCATGGCTTCCCACCTGCGTGCTCCCCCCACAACTACCTCTCTCCCACAGTAATTTCTGGACCTGCACGACAAAGCCTTCCCTCCTCTATGACACCTGCAAAACACAGCTAACTCACAGCGCTCACTGGGATGAACCTGCCATGATCTGGACGGAGTTACAAATGGCCTAAGCTGGCCTGGAGCAGGTCTACACTGGGGAACTGTGCTGTTCCTGCAGCTTAACTGCCAGCTCAGACAAGACCTGAAGACTCCCTATCAAACCCTAGTTATCATGGGAAGGAAACCAAGATGCTGCAGATCAGAAGGAAGCTGTACCATACTGCAGCAGATCCTCTGAGCAAAGCAGCCAGGGAGAGAGTGTACTTTCAGTCTATACCCCACATATATTCTGAACTATCCAAAGCATGAATTACATCTTTTTGTGTTTTTCATAAATGAGAAGTAATGACACAAAGTCCCTAGTGGTGTTTTTAAATGTGATTAGATAAACTGAACAGTTATGAACAAGTAATACATTTGAACTACAGTTTTACTGCAAAGTGATTTAAAAACTAAATCTAACCTATCAAGTAACCAAGCATAAACCTAGTTTAGTAAGATTTTCCTGCAGCATTTACTGCCTGTCCCTGTAATCAGACTATTTATTTATCATTTACCTGCAATAGCAGAATGAACTGTGGAAAGCGCTGGATAGGTTTCATCATTAAACCATACAGTGTAATTCGATCAGGGCTTGACTCCTGGCACTGCTGCAATGCAAGAAAGCCACACAGAATGTTTACTTCCACTCATGTATTTCCATCAGTAACAGAATGAAAGTTATTCTACATCATTTATACAGTAGTACTATAAATTTACTGTTATTTACTATAAAGACTTTATTTTCAAATATTAATTTTTTTTTTCAAAATCACTATTAAGATGTGGCATGTCACTGGCCTGGAATACCTCCTGTAATCAACACAGCTGGGATAAAGCCACAACAGCAGTGCAGCACCCATGCATATATTGATACAGCACATTCATGCTTTTTAAATAAGCAAGGCACTGAAACATCTGCTTAACTTCAAGCACAACAAAGGCAATGAACTTGTTCAAGTTCGAAAAATGTGATCTGTTGATTTATTGACTGTAATTTACCATTGCTGCTCTATTTCTTGGGGCTAAAAGATTATAAATTTCTACCTACCTACATGTTTTTAAAAGGAAATCTAAGAAAAACATAATCTCAGCGCTATGCAAACAAAAAAATTTTCATTTTCTTTATTAAAGGTAACTAAGGAAAAGAACATTGATTTACGCCTGGAAAGAAAAACATTAGAATCCATTACTTTGGTTATCAGGACTGGTGATAAAACCAGGCAAATTTCATCTGCTTGTACAGAAAACCCCTGTTTGTATAATTCAATTCAACATTTGGAAGTATTTTAGCCAGAATCACAGCTGACGCAGAATAAGGAGAGTAGGGGAAATATTCAAAACCAAAGCACTCCAAACAATACTGAACTGCCATTGTGCTTAAATTGCCATTATTGCTACAACTATCAAGCTTCACTGTAATTTGTTTCCATGCTTATCTCCACAAACAGGTGTTTTTTTTCCCCAACAGCAGCAGTGAAGATTCTGGTCTTCAATACTGGTGGGCACACACATACAAAAAGATAAGGTGTAGAAACATCTTCTGTTGTCAGAGTTCAGTTTCAGTCCCCAACTCTGAGTAGCACCAGCACCAGCACTCACAAGCAGTGATGAAAGGTATAAATTATGCCTCTATTGCAACAACTGGCTTTTAACAGTGCAAGAGTTATGAAATGACAATGCGCTTATAGACACTCTGATCTTCCTGGAGTCAAAGGCTTCCAGCATATAACCCTGTGTAGTGCTGGCTGCACTCCAAAAAATTGTTGGTTAATTTTAAGATCTGAAGACATATTAGGAATCAGTCCTCCTTCTAGGCAACCTAAGAGCTTCACCATTTAGTTTGCCTAGGGCACCCAATTTCCATGTTTGGTGGATCACTGCAACAGACCTGACAGAGTGCCTCTGAGAGGCAACAACTCAATCCAGGACTCTTGCAGAATGGGACAAGCAGAGATCTCAAGCTCCCAGCAGGGTCACAGGTAGCCTAAAAGCCTTGCATTGGGTTTTGTATACCCTCTGTGAGATATCAGTCCTAGAGACTCACAGAACTTCCACTGCCTGTATCAAGCGCTCTGTGCACATCACCGAAAGCATCATGTTCATCAGGGTAGCAAGTATTCTGCACAGAAATTTTAAATTTCAACCCCAAATTGGAAGCACGATTTTCAAAATACTAGGAAATTGTCATGGAACTGAGATCTAGTTACACTACACTACAAAAGTTAGAAGTAAAATAAATCACAAATAAGAAGAGGCCTCATATGTTGAGCTATTATTTGAAGCTCACCTGATGGCAAAACAGGGAGTCCTTCACAAGTAGTCATACAAACACCAATAAACTGATCTGAACAACAACAAAACTACTCTGCACTTCAAAATACACCCTAGATCTAACATCATGTTATTTCTCTGAAAATACAGTAGTGGAAGTGAATTCACTGGGGAGTTTTTCTGTGCCAAATCCATAAAACATGAAACCAAAGTTCATAAAACCAGTCACAAAATATACAGTATTACCTGTCAAATTTTCCCCTAACTCATAATTTACACTGTCTTATTTATATCAAATGCCCATCTGTTTTAAGATTAAACTCACCTTTAAAAAGTCTAAAAAGGCAGGTTTGGTGGCACATGTTTTCTTGAGAATCCCTACCGCTGTACTGAAGTTGTTTACATATTCACTATATGCATCCAATACCATAGATTTAGAAAACTGAAAAGAGAAAAGGGTAAACCTTAACTATAAATACAAAAGATCCCCAAAAGCTTAACTAGACTGAATTCAGACTGTTAAGGACTCGCCTTGCTCACAGTTAAGGGCTTTGCTTGGCTTAGTGCTAGATCTACAGCATTACTGGTGATGTTCAAAATACTCTTTCTGTGGAAGACAGTTTGGAAATCTAAAGATGTAACGGCTGTGAATGATGAAATGTAAATTTACAGAAATAGCTTTATCTTGGCTATAACACTAGGGCAGAGCCTGAGGACTATGGGCAATCAAAGGGCATCCACTGAGATTCAAAGCAGCTGCTGGGATCCCCTGATAATCCCATGACTGCTTATCTTCCAGACTTGGTGAACCAGCAAAGTCCCAGGGCCTTCAATGCCCCATCTTCAGCTGGTAAGGGTTTACCAAGAAAGCAGACAGATTGTGTGGCCTGAAACGAGCAGCACAAAGGGCAAGACTGCTGCCCACTGCCTTAGTAATCCCTTTCTTCTGCAGAGCTAGTCTCATTAACAATACTTAACTTTCTCAGTCAAAACAGGGCAGGTTTCCTTTCAACAGCAGATCTTTACTAACCACTTCATTTTGACTGAAATGGGGTCAAAGCACTCAGACACATATCCCAGCTCTTTTAGAGCAGGCATGAAAAGGTAGTAATTTCCAGCAGCTGGGTGACCACAAAACAAGGCACTCAAACCAGCAGCCAGGCAATCTTTTCCAGCACACACCAGTGGTAGGAACAATGTTGTTCTATCAACCAAGAACACTTCTTGTTTTCTGTAGTTCAGTCATTTACTGGATAGACATCCATTAAGAGTGGGACACTGTTTTACAAATACTCTTTACCTGTGTTCCAGTCTCAGTTAAACCTCAGTTAATGTTTTCTTTTACTCCCAAACATACTATGTATGACTACCTACTTTTTAAGAGATGCTAAGCCTCCATCTCACCTTAATTTTGTTGGGTTTGTGAATCTGTTTTACCCAAAACCAAAACTGTTTACTTAAATGTCTGAAAGCTTGATCAAAACCTGAAAATTTTGCCCTTAATTCTTTCACGTCTACCAACCAAGCCGAAGGCAAGTGCTGGTGTCAGTTTCTTTACCAGTATGGTACACACATACTCTGACAGTTGCCACAGGCATTGGAGAACACAGGAATTACATGGCCAAATTAGACAGAAAGATACGGAGATAGAATAGCAAGCATAAAATAAAAACGGATTATCTGGTTGGATGCATATGCTTACTGAAGCAACAAAGACATCACCAATCAGTTCCACAGAGTCCCACTCAGATACACGACTCGCCAGCGCAATCTGAAACATGGAATGGCATTGAAGAATTTCCTTAATTCTATAGAAGACCATTTTGAGTTTTCTTTCACTCAGTAACTTTGGCTCCATATCTGAAAGGGGCTTCTCATATTGCTGTGGGGAAAATAACAACAAAAAAGAATTAAATGAAAAAACCCAATTTATGTAGCAGTACACACAAAAAATGTCTAAACATCTGACACAAAGCATCTGTAGCAAGATCTATGAAAGTCACACTACAGATTCTTTAAAGATTTGATTATTTTTTCAAATTTCCAAATGACAAAATGAAAAAGATACTAAGGTACCTCCAGGATTCTTTTGAGAGCATCCACATAATTTTTCTCACTGTCAACTACAGAGCCCAAAATATACCTCCTCACAACCTGCAGAAGAAACAAAGTCTTGTCTGAAACTCTAATCAGGTAACATGTTCATCAGAGTTGGGAATGCTGATGATAAAATTCTCACATTAACAAACCACAAGAAACACAAAGCAATAGAAGAAAACTAGAAGAAAAGAACTGCAATAAAATACCACCGTACCTCTTCAAAAGTAATTAAATTTACTGTTACTCTAAAATTATTTATAAACTTTGCCAACTGTTGCAATTCGAAGCTCTACTTTTGAAACTTGTCTTTTAATTTTAGATGCATAAATGTAGGCATTAATATAAATAATAACAGGTATAAAAATGATGGTTGCTACAGTGAATTGCTGCAATAAAAAAGGTAACCAGTTTTCAAAGTCAGTCTTCAAGATTAGTATTTTTTTTTTAATATGTTTTAGAAATTTATTAGGAGAAACCTGAAGGACAAAAAAGCTAACATTTTGGTAAGGCCATATGAACTGTACCACTGAGAAAGTATCTAAGTAAGTCAGCATTCTTTTTTGGGCATTACCATACATAAGTGAAAAGCCTGTCTCATCTATATTCATATCTATTGACAAAGTAGTAAGAGGTTCGAGAAATCATATTTCATATTTACAAACTACATATCAAAATACAAATTACATATCATATTTCATATTTACAAGCTACAGGCTATTTATCACACCTTTTCCATCTTCTGCTTCTGTAATTCAGCTGAAACATACTTTGTATGCATGCACAAGTGATGTGACAGGAAGGACTAGGGAACCATTCTGGTTTAAAATTTAAACTTCTGTTATTGCTGGGTTTAAGGATTTGTTTCCATCCAATCCATTTGCTAATCCAGCTCATTCCAGAGCTTCCAAAAATGAGACTCTGGTGGAGAAGACAGCACAAGAGCAGGATAAAACCACTCCCAACAACTGCAAGGGAAAGGAAGGCAAAACTGCCTCTTTTGTTATTTTCAGCTAGCCTAAATGACCATGAAATTCAAGTCTCAGACTTGCTTTTCTCTGCTCCTTTTTCCATGGCCTCCTGCCTTCCCTGTCACAGCTGCCTTTAATTCTCCACGATTTGCATTTTGAAGTTAAGTGCAGGTTATGAGAGGATTTTCTTTTAAGTATTGGCATTTCAAAAGAAGACTTCAAAATTATCTCAGACCTTGCTTAAAAACATATACAGTAAAATTAGTTGGTCTAATTTGTGTTTAAAATGGATTTAGCAGTGTTTTCTTTATTATATCATTTGCTCTGGTAAAGGAAACTACTTCTAGTCACAGTTCACTCTTCTGAAAATAATAAACATCTGTAGAAATTGGGGTATTTTCAGGCTTTGTAATACACAAAATAGACACTTGATAGTGCCTGCAGGTTACTGCAATAGGGAAACAGAACTTACAAGAAGCTTGCATGCAAGTCTTAAATTTATACTCCCTTTTTTGCTTGTAACAGTAGCATACAAACATAAACAACTTATGGTAAGAACTCGGGTCCCAAGAGCAGAGGTATCACAACTGAGACCAACCTGGGACATAGTATTTGAACAGGCACCAGGTTTTAAACAAAAGCTATCGTGCCACCTGCTGTTTAAAACAAGCATATCCGTAAAGTCTGCTTGTTCGTGGCCAAGCAGTCCAGGCTGGAAGGGGCTCCTGGCCTTCACCTTCTCCAGCTGGAATGCCCAGGCTAAAGTAGTTTCCACAGTGACTACAGAGTTTGAGGTGCAAAACTGCAAAATATACTCTTTCTGTAGACTTGACTTTATTAAAGACAATTTTTTATTTTTTTTCAGGAGAAACCTTAAAATACAGAGAGAATAGAGGATATTTTCTACATTTAAACAGAAATACCACAGCATCTACAGAAATGTCATCTGACTCAAAAATGCTTAAACTCTTTTCTTTTTCATTCAAAATCACAACATTTAGTTTAAGTGTTTAGGTAGTGAAACAACATAATTATTAAGATTTTATACTGCAAAACAGCATTTTGCAGGTCTGGCTGTGTTCAGGACTGATACAACTATATGCACACATACCAATTTTAAACAAACTACTTATTCAGTTCCGAATTTCATGTCCACTTAATTTATGTTAAACACCAATATGTTTGAAGAGCAAGGCACCTGGGAGACATGGATATAGAGCAGAAGGGGAGGAAAAAGAGGCAGAAGAGCATATTTCTAAAAGCCTGCTACCTGCTGCTGTGATAATCCTTCAGGCATAGGAGTCATAATTGCTTCTGTATGCATACAGTCCACATCAATAAATAAATTTAGCTCCTCTTCTTCCAGACACGATGACCTATGATCTACAAGGAATTGAACAACCAAAACATCAACTTACACACCATGCAGATTAAATGAAGAAAGTAAGAAAAAGATCCTATCATCCAAGCATAATAATTACACAATCTTATTTTCACTCACCAAACAAAAGAAATTTCCCAGCACTTCTGTATCACCTGTGAATCACAAATACCACCACTGATCTCTAATACAGAGCATCTTCCAAAGGTATCCTGAAATCCACTTGGCATGAGACAACCTATCTTTTGCTCGACCTCTTCTCCCTGTTCACAGCCACAATAGGGCTGTCCATAGTGCAGGGCATGATAACTAGGGTTAGAATATTGCAGTATTTTAACCCTTGATGTTAAAGGGCCAGCACTTTTGAAATAAATGACCTTTGGGAAGAAATTAAACACACCCACGATATGATCCAGCTTAAAAATTCCACACACCCTTCCATAACTGAGCTAATGTAGGTAACCAAATGTACCAAAATGTTGGCTTTTATCACAAAGGAGAATAAGGGGTTCTGCATTGCTCCTCATGTACTAATTTTATGCAAACAGCAACACCGAAGTGCAGTGACAGGTGGCAGTATGCAGCCAGCCAAACAAGCAGACAGGAGCAAACGAGGAATAGAAAACAGTATGAAAAACTCTTTCAGAACGAAAAGGGAAGGGAAGCAGATTTGTCAGCTGGAAGGAATTCGACAAATTTGCCACTAGCTCCCTGCCGATTTGGTAAATGGCTGCGGGTTTAAACCATCCACAGATACACCGTGTCTGCTACCTAACCTCTAGAAATGCAAGACAGAATGCCAGGTTCACTCATAACACTGCCCTGCTGAAACCGGTACATTTTCTCCAGTGCAAGAGCAAAGCACTGAGGATACAGTTCTGATCGCTGAAATCTGTGCAACTAACTTTCTATTTTCTGTGAATTAGGCAAATTCATAAGCAGTTAGAGGCCATGACAGGGATATAAGGTGTGTCCTGGTCCTTAGTGATCAGATGCAACTTTATGTTAGCTTGCTCACTAAAAACATCTTGTTCTAGTCTTGTGGTTTTAGCTTCCTAAAACAGTACTCTGAAGTTACAACCATTCAAGTAGTTGTGCAGAAATGTGAACAGAAATACATACTACCTCTTGGACTTACCCTAAAGAATAAGTAAGTTTGTATTCAGTTACTACCCCCTACCTCTTGCAAAATATAACTGTGGACTGCTGCTGCTAAGGCTCATGACAAAGGGATGATGTTTGCTCTTAACTAGAGAAAGAATACAAATACTTTTAGCTTTTTTACTTCAACCCACTTTCTGTTTTCCCAATCCAAACTCAGCTTTCATCAGAAATCACCAAACAGTGATAAAGCAGAACAGCCTCTTCCTCCTACTTCAACCCCTTAGCACAGAAAATGTTTGTTATTCCTTGACCACAATAGACTTTTTAAACAGTTGGCTATCACTCCACTAAAAAACATGTCATGACAGTAAACTTTCCTGACATTCAGGAGTTGCTCAATGGAGGGAACTGGACAGACTTAGTACTTAAACATAACTTCCATACCCGCATACATCAATACCTAGATAGAACCTATGGCACTGTTTTACTGGGATTTTGGGTTTTTTTTAAGTGGATCCTTCCCTATAGACCTCAGGTTTCTCAGATCATTCAGATTCTTGCCCCAAACCTAAAACTACTCAAGATGCATTGAGCATATTATCATCTGAACTGACTAGTATACCATAATTTACTGATAGATTTCTATCCGGTAGTCAGCTCCCAGTACAAAAACCTGCTAGGCTATTCACTTAATGTCTCAGAAATAAACAGAAAAAGTAACAAACACTGTAAATAGCACATACCTTGAGAAATGAAAGATTTTGTTCTAATGAAAGAACGACCCTTTTTCACAGCTGCTTTTGTCTTCTCAAGCCCATCTTTGGTACCTTCTCTAGCAGCTCTCATGAGTTTTTGCATCTGTTTAAAAAAAAATACAGTCTACACGTTCAGTGAATAATAGGAATGTGTTTTAGCATGCACACCATGCAAAATACTTTTGATCAAAATACCGCTTAAAAGAACACTGTCAAGTATTTTAGGCTGTAAATACAGCCCAAAGTCAAAGTAATATACAGCAAGTATACAGATCCATCAAAGGTCAGATCTGAGCACCTGTATTTTCTCTTAAAATCAAACCTGTAGAAAGGCACTTACTTCATGGCAATGTTGTATGCAAGCCTAAAGTAGCAGAAATGCTTAAAAATTTGCACCAAAAATCTGAACTCAAAATAGTCTTAAATGCTCAGATTTACATTATATAATAAACAAATGAACTATGAACAGGTCATTAATGGCCAGGGTTCTTTCTCATCTTCTAATGTCCTACTAACTCTGCCAACATATTTCTGATCTGAAGATAATTCCCTAGACTCAGTTGTATGTTAACTATATTCTTAAACATTGTTCTGAATAAAACTCCACAACTAATAATTTCATTACTTAAATAAGTTGATTCTAATTAAGAACTGCATAATTTTGTAGTACACTACTACAGTAAAAAGAATTCCTGTTGCTTTGCTAAGAAATGTTTATTAAAAGAATTTCTTGGCACATTTGCTTTTCCAAAATGCCACAATGTCAAAAAATCCCCACTACTGTCAGATCTGTGCTGACATCATCAGTGACATCAGAACACACACAAAGTTGTCATGCTGCAATCAAGCAACTTGTCCATTTGAGCTGAAGCTTTTAGAAAAACCCCAGTCTTTTCATACTGGCTCCATTCAGAACAGAGAGCAGGGAGATTCTGACTCCCACAGTTTGATCCCACACAGCTGAACAGCCAGGGCCAGGCTGACTCTTGGACCTCACCCAGAGCTGTACGCCTAGCTCATGATCTGCAGTAAGGGCACTGGTCAGCAGGGAAGTACAATGATGCCCTATCACATTTTCTGAAACTGCTACCATTAAAAACAAGCATGAGAAAAGGTCCTTGACAAAGTACTTTTAAGATAAACTGCATAATAATAAACCAGCACATTTAGAATTAGTTTCATACAAATTATTGCCTGCTTTCTCAATTTATTATTAAAAGAGACAACATTGTCTGTGTTGGAAAAGCAATCAGTTATATGTAGCTAGTTACAAAAATCAACTACGCTACCTTCAGCTCATGTTTTTGCTTTAGTTGCTGAATCTCTACTGCTCCCACAGTGTTTGCCATCAAATCTTTCATCTTTTTCTCATAATGCTCCTTTAAACGCGTTAGGTCATGTGAAAGCTACAGTGTATAAAAAGACACAATCTTTTCAAAAAGCCTGCAGTGCAAACTTCATGCTAAAGCACTCAAGTATACCATGCACATTGCCCCATCTGCCTACTGATACACAGACAACTGAGGGAAAATTATCATGTAGGGAAGCTCCAACCTGACAAATGGACCATCACTCCTGTGCATCACTGAACTTTCTGAAACCCAGGCAGGCACCTTTCTGCTATGCTGTCAACTATGTAAAGAGAGGAACAAAGTCACTTAGGCTAAGCTAACTGTGTATTAACTATATTGTGCACATCTCATAAACTGTATGGAAACAACACATCAGCTTTAACCATAAGCATCATTTGTTGAAGCACACACTCTAGTGAGCGTATTTCTGACTGTCCTTCGAAACAGTGAATTGGAAGAATTCTTAAAGTTTGAAGAACCTGAGGTTGTTGGTACCTGAAAAGATGGAGACAGACAGTGAGTCGGGTAAGGAGATGCTAACAGAGGAGGATACACAGTTGTGTAATTTCATCTGTCATAGCCTCATTGTATGACCATGGGTGCAACCATCTCATACATGGGTATATCCATTTGCAAAACAAGGAAACCATCATGGAGAAATGGTCTGGAATACTAATTAATATTTATTACAGATTTTGAGAAGGCCAGATATAAGAGGTTAAAATATAACCAGAAAACCAAGAAAAATATTTAGTGTACCCCTCAACTTGATGTCAACAGAATCATCTGGCAAGATATGAAAGCATGAGGAAAGAGAAGGCCTACTGACTTGAAAACAAGTGGACAGGTCCAGCATTTAGCTCAACTAGGCTGGGTCAGGATGCGATTACTTCCAGCATGAGGATTTTGGCATTATAGCAGTCTAATTAAAAACAGCATCTGGTTCACAGATTAGAAATACTGAATAGCACAAAAGCCTTCCCACCCTTAAATAAATAAATAATAATCAAGAGTCATAACGAAAAAACCTGACTTTAAGGAAAGTCACACCAAGACTTAAATATCCCACCTATAACCTTCCCATACTTTTCAATGGACATCAGTAATAATAAGCAAGGTGAGTCCCTCATAGGCTCCGAAAGGCTATAGAAGGAGATGGATGTTACGGTATTTTCCCAGCACATCACAAGAGCTGAGAAGTAAGAGTTACTGCAAGGAATGGAAGAGAAAAGGTATGAAATGGAGAGGTTTCTGTAAATGCTGAAGTGCCAGTGCAGGGAGGGTTGAGGAGTTTGTTTTTATTTCATTTCAGCAGTCCAAAAGTTTACATCTCTCCTCACTCTCCACCAAACCCCTTCTCTAGTCTCCTGACTTCTCCACTTCCCAGTACCCATCTAGGTGCAGCAGTCCCTCTGACTTCTCCATCCACCAAGTCACGTGTTCACAGGCTCCTCATCACCATCCTCACAAGGCAATTCTCAAGACCTGTTGTCACAGGCTGGAAGAGCCAGCTGCAGGGCAGTATCCCGCAGTACACCTCTTTGCTCCACCACTCCTCAGTCTCTTGCTCAGACATTGTGCCTGATCCTAGCACCATCACTCTCAACTGACTGCCAACAGTTTCCTGTGACAGATGAAAGTATATTTACAGTATTAAAAAATTGCTTTAAATCTCACTTTGTGCACATGTGTAAGTAGAACCCTATGACTATGGCCAAAGCTGAAGCTACAGATAACAGGGAAAGATTTAAAAAAAACACACCAAAACAAAACTGGAGGATGATCACTCAGCTTACAAAGTGCTGATTTGTGTGAGCTCAAGTCTTGCAGTTAACTGCTCACTCTCAGTTTTCCAAATGGTGGGCAACAAGGATGGAGGTAGGGGGAGAGCAGATAATGTGTATTGGAAGGATGCACAGACAATGAGGTTTTTTTTCTCAGCATAAGAGACTGCAAAATGAAAATAAGGGTATCACAGAAGAACACCCTGGCCTCTACCCCTACCATCCTCCAGCCACAGGGTGCTGGAGCAGCTAACAGTACGCAGATGTGAAGTGGTTTGTGGGTGTCTCTCCCTAGCCAGCACATACTGGGGGGCCTCAAGCATTTTACAGCGACTCTGGACCTGCCTGTCCCCACTTGTTCCCTGCACCCCCATCCTCCAAGTGTTCAGAGCAGGGGACCAGCAGCAAGAGGCTGCCCGCTGTCCAGGCAAGACTTCCTTCTCACAGAAAGGGCACAAGGGCAGGAGGAGAGAAGCCAAATCAGTGAGAGCATGGGAGCCTGGTGCTCCTTCCAGTGTATAATCAGATATATGCAGCGAGGGCAGGCACCCATGCCATCAGGGTCTTCCTGCCTCCTGCATCAGGGATGGAGCCAAAGGTACTAGACCAGAGGTGTGTCACAGATGGATCATTTTATCAAGCCACCTCTCTTTTCTCTTAATAAATGTTACAGACTTCTCTTTGATCGCAAAAACCTTTTATTTTTGGGCTTTTTTTTTTTTTTTTGTTAAGCTCAGCTGCCTTCAAGCAAGCAAGGTGATACAGATTTAACACAGAAAGACAGGGAACACTGGTGAACAGTTCTGTGACTTTAAGTCTTGTCAGGCTTACCCCCATTTGTTCTTCACATTGTTTTCCACACTCATTTACCACTTACACTAATCCAGTAGCTGCAAAAGAAGAAAAGGTGAGGAACTGGCCACAAGCAAAAATAATCATTAATTTCACTTTTATCCACTCTGAGTTGTTTATTTTTAAGGAGCTTCTGTTTAATGTTTTCATTTTTTCCCCATTACATTTGCTGTGGGCTGTCACACCCACACTGATTCACGTCTCTGCTAAAAGGATGCTGTTGGTATTTGAAACTGAATTGAGACAGGAAATAAAGGTGAAAAAGGCAAATATTGGAAATGAGGGTAACCTCAGTGACTGAGCAGCACTGCAGAATACATACATGTCTCTTGTGGTTGCCTCGCAAAAAGGAGCTGGGAATTCCATTTTTACACTCAGAATCGCTCTGCTCTTCATAGCTTTCAAACTCACTTGAACTCCACCCATATTCCAGTGAGCTGTTTCCACCATCTTCACCATTTTCAACATCATCATAAATCATTTCCTCTGCAAGAATTAAACCAAAATTAATAATAATAATAATAATTTTTAAAGCCCCATTGAAATTTGTTTGTTTAAACATAAGAAAACTTGCTCAGGATGTACTACAAAGAACTTTAAACTTTGGTACACACATTTTAAAACATAAGTTAATTCCAGTAGTCAAGCAGGCAAAGTAGGTTGCCTTCGTTGAAATAGAGTATTGAAAGAGGATAGTTTTACAGGTACACACCATGATCCTCTTAAAAACACACCCCATTCAAACTGCACCATTATGTCCATGTCCCACAACATGTTTTAGAAGAAATTCAAAGGAAGTTCAAACTGTAGCTATGAACACACATCTGAGCTGAGAAGCAGCATCCTTCCATTTGAAGGCTTGTTGTCTTAGGGACATCATCAGCAGCAGCTCAAATGACAAATGCTAGAACACTGCAAGGATCAAACGAAAATGTCACTACTTCAAGAATAACAGACCAAACTAATAAGAAAATTGTTACACTGATATCTCATGACTTATCATTCCTTTAACTCCACCAGCCACTAGGAGTCTCCCATATCTGCAGGTTACCTTGCCCATAATCCAGCCCGATATTAGAGATTTAAAAAGAGAAAATATACATACTCAAAAGAAATGCTGACTTACTTTACACATTCGCCTAAAACCTGGATTCTGGGACTAAAAAGTACATTTTTACCAATTATATTATTTTAATATTAATTGCCTTTGTCACAGACAAATATCCTCTAATTTGGAAGCATCAGATCTTCAGAAATTTTTTAAACCTTTATGTGTATCATACTGTCCTTAAAGGACACTTACTGAAGAAAACATTTTAGTGGCAATCTAGCACAACAAATGGTCATGCACCATAGTAAATAAGTCCTGACTGAGCAGCAACAATGCAAAGATGTCCTTGTCCACAGCAATACAGCCCACTGTGGGACCTTCCAGTAATAAGTCACAAATTTAACACAATGTCTTCAAATAATAAATTAAACAAATTTCAGTAATAATTTGTAAACCACCATGCCTGCACACCACTAATGGCAAGAAATGAAAATGTTACAGCTTTAAAATTAAATACAGTTTTCATAGAAGAAAGCTGAAGTGTTTTCTTGAATCATTACAATTTCAGTATCATACTCCTACATCCTCTAAGAACAAGTAGATACTGAGTTCCCAATAGGCCAATCTACTCAAACACATCAGTTAATAGCAACCAATCTTTAAACATACTTTTCACTATAACCAAAAACTGAAAAACAGATCTGAGTGAGAACTCAAAATAAGCTTTTTGAGCCTCTGCTCCACCATTCCCAATAAGGTAAAACCTTGGCTCCAGCAACAACTTTAAGATCTGTTCTGTCCCTTGCAAACATGGTCACACTATCAGGAACAGGATCACTTAAAAGCTGAAATAAAACATTTCTGTAATGTCACATTCAGGATAGTGAATAGCCTCACTTCCATCTATCATGTATTTTTATGTTGAAGGAGAACATGCAAGAGAAGAGCATTTCTCTGCACAACCATGACAATGACACGTTATCATACATTATTTAGCTATTTAAAACATCCTTTTCCTACCTACCTTGCCTTCTTTAGGTCACTACAGCTACAACACACAACACTAATTCTCTAATATAGGGAATTCTCAAGCATTTGGGACAGTATCTATAGAATAAAGTGTAATTCAGCTTCTGAGAAGAGTAGGAGACCTGCTGAGATAAAGGCTTTTAAGAGTTAGTTTAATTCTGAATTTCGTAAAACCTACTGATTATGGACAGCCTTAATCCATTTACATATATTTTAACTGTTTAATTAACACACCTATTGAGTATACACACATATAATTCTATATTACACTGCTTTCAACAAGGCTATATTATGAAGACCTCAAACCTGGTTCAGAGTCAGAATTTTCTCTTGGCACGTCATCGTAAATTACTTCATCTGGGTCTAAAAGTAAAGTAGAAAATAAACAGCAAATGAGAAACCCCCTTGAAATTTAATAGGACCAACAAACAGTGTTTGAGAGGCATTTGGACAATGCCCTTAATAACATGCTTCAGCTTTTGGTCAGTCCTGAAGAGGTCAGGCACTTGGACTAAATGATCACTGCATATCCCTTTCAACTGAAATATTCCATTCTAAAGAATCAAGGTTATACTGGCATATGTGAATACAATGGAGCTACGACTCATTTTCCACTAGCACTTGCCATTACATCTAATCATAAATTCAAATAATACAATAACACACAAAAACAGCATAAGGAATTTGTGAAATTTCACACTATTTTATCTGCATAGTTCATTATGACCCCTGGTAACCTGGAAAAAGAAATCCAATTCAACAGCAAATATTTCTTTCTCCTTTTACAGCACTATGTTCTGTGCTTGTCGAGGGCTGCTCATTGACTTACTGAATGGCTGTAGAGAAGCTGTAAGACTTTTTTTTAAAGATCCAAAACTAAACAATGTAACGATCGCTGTAGCACATAAAGAGGTAGAATAAGGATGCAAAATTCTCCAGTTACTCCAAGTGACATTCAAGATAAGCCTCCAGCCCAGTGGAAAGAGCTGAGAACAGGTGGGAAAACCTGTCCAACCACATGGTCTCTACTTTGGTTTAAAGCACAGCTGCCGGCCAAAGGCACAAATCAAGAAAAAGCGTCAATTCCTTCCTTTCCACCTTCTCCAAGAACGTATTTATCAATTACTGAACAAGATATATACAGCCAAACAGCAAACTCTGAACTAAAGCAAATTCCCACTGTGCACTTATTGATGGAGCCAAATTATTTCCTTAAGACAGTGATGAATGACTCTGGACTCCAAAAAGCACTCCATGGAAAAGTAAATGTTACCTTTATTCTAAAATACGCACTTTTATTACCATCAAATGTTTAACTGGTATAACTTGGCTCTGGAACATATACATGTGCGTAAGATACACAATGATTTTAGTTGATCACAACTTAGAATTGACATTCTCCTATAGTTGTACTTTGGTGCTCATCAATACTTACTTTCCATCCATGCTGTGTTTGCAGGATCTGCAACCCACTTGGCCAGTGCATCATCCTCTCTCTTCGCCTGGTTATCTTCACTTGAAAAAAAGGCAATAAAATAAAAACATTAAAAGCTACATCACAGTGTTTTTAAACAACTGTAAAGACAAGACAAATCTTTCTGGCTTTCAGTTCCCACTCTGTGGCTGCTGATTACTCAAAAATGCTGCTGCAGCATGTAATTAGGAGATTATTAATCTATTCTATTTAACAGTCTGACAACTTAGCGACGGAAATAAAAATGCTTCCCTTCCCATCTCAAGAAATATTTTGCTTCCAAGTTCCTCTACCAGAACACAAAAAACTCAGAAAGCAGTGAAGTAAGAGCTGTTCTTTCAGTTCAAACACAACTAAACACTTTCTCGGCCACATCAGGAGCAAATGGGCTTAACAAGACTGTTCTCTTCCTCTGGTTGGTGCTGGTGAGGCTGAATCTTCATTAGCACATCCAGTTTTGGCTTCCCAAGTCTCCCCTTCTAAAGAGCTGTGGAGAAACTGAAGCTACCTCTTGAGAAACTATGAAGAAATTGGACTTGGGGACTAAAGCTTATAGCCTAAAAGGAAAGAGGTGGAAGACATGAGGCTTATTTAATCTGGTGAAAAGAATGCTATGGGGTGATCCAACAGCAGCTACAACTATCTCAAAGACAGCTTTAGAGGTGATGGAGGTGGGGTTTGGGTTTTTTGGTTTGAACTTGGTTTTGAGTTTTAGGCTGGGTTTGCTGGGGCTTTTTTCAGTGTCAGACGATATACAAGGGGGAATGACCAACAAACTGCACATTGAAAGACTTGGTTTGCACATTAGCAGGAAGTGCACCAAAGGGTAGCAGGGAAGACTGCCCAGGAAAGCTGCAACATCTATATCCTTGGATGTTTTCAAGACTCAGCTACCAAGGCCACGACTGATCCAAAGTGTTGGCAGTGTTCCTTCTGAAAGCAGCAGGCAACACTAAAAAGATCTCCAGCAGTCTGTTGCAGCTGACATTGCTATGACTAAAAATTAAAATCAGTTACTTCAAAAATATGCACATTTATACATACGAGACCTCTGCCGGTGCTGATTTTGGTACACGACCAGAGTTACAGAGTTAGGAAAAAAAAGTAAACATGGAAGTGTCACACAGTAAAAATCAGGTACGTATCAAATATAAGCTTTCTTAGGAGTTGAAGCTTTGTAGGTAGTTTAAACATGCTGAATTGACAATCACCTGTTTTGAGGCTCCTCTGAGTTTACAGAATTATAATGACATTCTTCAGTTGCTGACTGAGTACCTGTTAAGTAGAAAAACATATATCATCACCAAAATGCCAGCATGGTTCAAAAGGTGCATTTTAGAGTAAGAAACTGTTTTTACTAGTTCATTGCTAATGAATAATCTAGTTCTATACAAGAAGCTTCTTCACCCAATCCATGTTTGCAAATGAAAGAATTCAGAGATGTAGTGATTTGGCATATGAGCTGTTAGGATGAAATTACCATGTCTAATGCATTTAATTCTAACCTCTCAAACCTATATTCCTCTACAGGTGATAACAACCATTTGCTTTTATTTGCCAGTATTCCTGGTGGTGATAGAGAGCAAAGGTTATATTGAAAATACAAGAAATAAAGGGGAGCAGGGGGAAAGGCAGGATCTGGGGAGCTTTCTGTTCCTCCTGCTCTCTTGAAATTAAGTTGTCAGCTTTGCAAATTCTGGTTACAAAATAGGAGAGTGTTCCTTTTCCTGTAACAATACACAGAACAGAGTTTGTCAAAACTTCAAGGAAAAAGCACACAGCAACACTAAATCCACAAAGACTGGAAAATAAACAAGCAAACAGAAGTGCATATAGGAAAGATAAAAGAGACAGGATCTCTGCCAGGACCCAGATCAAGCATGGTAAAGTGGGAGAATAAACCACTTGGCCTGAACACTGAACTATGGCTCTGGAAATTATTTCATTACATTAAAATGGAATTAGCCTTAACATTCTTAGTGACAAGGGAAGACAGAAGTCCTCCCTTGCACTATGTATGTTGTAATACAGCGCTGGCAAAAAAAACCTTTAAGGAAAGGCTGAAGAACTGACAGCGTACATTCATTTTTTCTTATGCATCTTTACTTGGGTATCTCGACCCTTGCACCGCAAGCAGAGTCCTGTAGGAACTCTTAAAATATACTGGCATTTTCCTTTCAGGTCTGACAAGAAATTTTAATTCATACTGCAGGAGATAGTTCTATTTCTATTTTGACACAAAATCGCCTCACACATCCAGGCTGAGTGCTCCACAAGAACTTACACAAGCATGTACAAAACAGCACAGGCACCTGAAGTTAAACAAGGATTCTCCTTCAAACAAAGTAAGTTGGGTAAGTACAGTACCTTCTTCTTCTACAGAAACACTGCGTATTATGACAGGACTGGAGTATGCTGGCAGTATCAAAGGTAAATTAGATGGCACAGCATAGCCACAGGGGACAGGAACCGAATATCCACTGAAGTTTAGACTCGCACATTCTTCTTGAGGACTGGGTTCTGGCGATGAGGATGGATCTTTGTCTTGTACTGGTGAAATATTTATGACTGAGTAGGGATTGACTTTGGGTGGAGTGGCTTCTGCAACAGGCTCGGATGTTCGCAGCGTCTCACTGCTCTCTAAATTACCAGCCCCTTTAGTTGAAAAAAAAAAAATAAATATCACAAAATCACACAAAAATTAATATTTTATTTTTCGTACCTGTTCAAGCTGCTTAATGTTGCTCTTTGCAAAAACTCTAAACACTGATACGATCCTTACTATACAAGTCGCTTTCAACAGGCAAACTGATGGAATTCCCACACAGTAGTGCTATCCTCCCCATTTTACAGATAAGGAATGCAACAGCAGGGAAGCAAGCTGGGTTGCAAGCATGCCTATGGAAAAACTGGTTTCTAAATCCTGAATAGGAGGATTTCTGACAACTCGTCAAGGTCCTTTTGTACTTATCATATAAGCACATGTCTCAAAACAGCCTTAAACCCTGAAGGTTAAAATCTGGATTCTAGATTAATTTGGATCTTATAAACACAAATACAAGAAATAGTTTAGGAATAGCCATGAAGAGAGAACAAGGTCACTAGGACAGTCCTCAAAGAACAGTCCTGAAAATTTTCTGTTGAGAGAAGAGAAAATAAAATAAGTTTTCCACTGGTATTTCTTGAGGCAAGCTAAGGTACAGCAGAACCAAAGGCCCCTCTGAAGCAAACTGTGATCAAAGTGATCGAAGTGATCGAAGTTTTTGAGCTAGAAGTACAACGTCATAAAAGCGCAACAAATTTTCATGGAAAAGGGTATTTAACTTCCAGGCTTTCAAAGTGCATAGTCACCTGAAGAGTTACCTATCTTTAACTGCCATGAGCACAAATGACTCTGCTTGCAAAAGCAAATTGGATCAAAGTCAGCAAAAATCAGCTGTAGTCAATTTGAGCAGAATACAGCAATTTCCAGACTACACCTCAGCACTGAGAACATGAGCATGTGTTGTAAGAAATGCTTTAATAAGAGTTCTGCTTATGAACAAAAATCATACATTCAGACTCCATTTATTTTTATGCATGTCATCTTAAGATCAGCAACCAGCAAGCTTAGCCGTGAAAGCAGCTTATCTTGAGCCATCCACATGACATTAGAGCCGCAAGGGCATAAAGTTTTCCTGTAGCATGACACTGTGATGGAGACCAATCCATCTGCTTGGATGCCACACTTGGATGGGAAACCTCACAGGAATTGCATGTGATGGTCATTTGCCTCATCAAATCTACTATGAGTGTAACTAGCAGGAATATTCAGAACACTTGTATGGTATCGCCATGGAAACCTCTTCTTACAAGTAATTTTATTGCATTGTAAAGAAAAGGCACCCTATAATCAGCCTTTTCTATTCAGCCTAGTGGAGGCACAGCCCAACGGGCTGACTTACCTGTGGCATTAGCCTCTTGGTGCTCTATGTTATTTCCAGGAACAGCGGAAGGTGGCGCAAGGGCTTGCCTGTCTGCTTCTGGTATCTCATCTCCACTGTCGAAGTCAAACTGCTCTCCCTCGTCCTCCTCTTCAGCATTTGTACCTACAGTTTTTGGTTCATGCTCTAGAACTGTGCAGAAAGATATGCTGTTGGTTATTTGCTCTTGATAATGATTTCATGGGACCAGTAAGCATTCCACATTACAAATGAAGCTTATAGAATGAGCCCTTCAATTTTCAGGTTACTGGAACAGAACAAAAGCTCCTTGACATGTTGATAACCTTATAGAGCTTTCAATAAATCCTTTAGTGTAAACAATTAAATGACTTGGAAAACAATTCAGAAGTGATAATGCAAATACACTTGCTTTTGCCATAATGAACCAAAAGCAAAACACTTGGGAAAACACTTAAGTAGCTGATTCTTTAAACAAGAAAAGTTCACGAATTGATTTATTTGTACAGGGACTTTGGGACTTTATACTTTCACATGATTTTGCCTTTCCAACTCCAACTTCAAAGTCTATTATTTCTTAACAGTGTCAAAATGACAGCAACAGTAACTTGTTTCATACACATCATGAGACACCAGCAGATTGGTTTTCCTACTCCAGCCTGAAACAGTTTTAAACCAATGACCTTATGCAATATGCCATTAGCCCTACTACCACACATAAGATGCGCCTCACTGGAGGTAGGTGGATTGATTTTTTCAGTTCTTACCGTTGAAGAAGTAAAGGCTGAAACAATTACACCCTAATACTGCACAGGAAGTGGGAATGTGGAATTTTTTGTCTTTGCTTGTGAAGACCCTGCAGCACAGATTTGCCACTGTACACTGCTGGGGAGCAGGAAGAAGTGCAGGGCAGTTTCCCTCTGTGCTATTGTTCTTAACCACAGGAGCCTAGAGAACCATGAAGATTTAAACCTCCTCACTGCCTTACCTACCATTGTTTTTGCCATGCATTCACAACACAGAAAGCTTGCTTACAGCATCCAAAGCTTCTGTCAGAGACACTGCACAGAGGAGTCATAGGCAGGCAAGCTACAGGGAGGTATTCCCCAAACCCAGCAGCCTCCTCCCTGCTTCCAGAAGCCTTCACTGCAGCTCCCCAACACAAAAGGACTTCATCCATCCTTCCCTCCCTATGCCTGCCCTAGCTGCTTCTCCTACCTTCTGGAGGAGAAACTCTTACCAGAGATCCCCTTGATGCAGAAATGTCATCTAAGGAATTTTGGGGGGCAAGCTGACCTTCCCCTCAAGCTCTTCCTCAAACCCATCCATGATCAATACCTAGCTTTTACACAGGTGTTAATGTATTTAAAATGTTAGAAAAAAAAGCAGGTAACCATAGCATAAAAATATATATTAAAATAAATATGTAAATACACCAATATGTTACAAAAAGATACATGAAGTTGACAGGGTTCCCCCCACCCATCTTCATGCAGCGCAGTATAAAAACACAAAGTCTTGGAAGGACAACTGGGTCTCCTGAGTCATGACGATATTATCAGCTACTCTACCATCCAGGACACGTTTTGTATCTTTATGATAAAACCCACACAAACCATAGCTCTAGGCTGCTTAGATTGTCATGGTAATCAGCATTCCTGCCAAGGCTTCTGTTTCTTCAGGCAGGCTGAGCCAGCATATTTTATCACAGCCACAAATAACAAGATCTTTCACGCAGCCTCTCTGCAGGAGAAAAAGTGAACTAATTGCAAAAGTACTAATGAACAAAAAAGGGGTTATCCTACATTTATTGTCATGGTTTATGGCTGAAGCAGCAGGACATTTAATTAAACGTTAATGCTTTTTAAAAATCCTTCTGTGCAAAGTCAGCCTTTGGATTAAGGCTTTTCAGTTTTGCTTTTGTCCAATTTTTTTTCCCTAAAAGATGAAAAAAAAATAATCCTGCAGAGCTCTTCCAAGTGATTCAAGACAATCACAGCATTCTTCCTGATTCAGCATCCATCTGACTAGGTTGTACTACTTGCTGCTTGACAGTAATGGGGAAAAGAAAGAAAAAGGGGGGTGGTAGCAACGTTGATTTATTTCTGTTGGTTTGTTTTCCATTTCTTTGTTTTCAGTATGCCTGCATATACTTGGAAAATGCAAACCTGTGAAATAGTAGTGCTTTTTTTGTGGTTACCAGTGTGTGAAATGTTGATAAGTCCTGCAGACAAGGGCAAATAAGTAGGTAGATGGCAGGCACAAGAAAGTAACAGCCACAAGCCCACAGCTTCCCAGGTATATGCACTGCTATCTGCCACTCCTCCCACTGTACTATATAAGTGAATCACAGCAGCAACCACTTCAAATACGTAAAGTAGCACTGTCTGCACTGTGTATAGTGGGAGGGAGGAAAATGAGATTACTGGAATGAGCTGCTCAGTCCTGCAGGATTAGACCACTTGGTACACTGGAATATTGCTGAAGCAAGGCTCAGCTGAGAGCCAGGAACCCACTGGAGATGAATTCTAGACATCAGCAAAAGAAAAAGCATGTACACTTACAAAACGTTTGAGCCACACAGGGAAAACTGCAGGAGTAGCAGGCACCTCTGAGCTAGGTTAGGGAGCTTCTGGATCCAAGTACTCCCTGAGGGCATATAAAGGTAACTTAGGTATCAGACACCTGATAACTCTCTACTCCAGCACTTCTACACTGACACAATTCCCTAGGCACTCAAGTCCAGTGCAGGGCCATTTGTCAGAGACAGACAAGACCTGCCACTGGCAAAAAAAAAAAAAAAAAAAAAAAAAGTAATTTGAGATACTAAAGGCAAAAGAAATGACTCAGGACCCAGGAGCAAAACCTGGGCAACTGATGCACAAATCCCCTTCAACATGCCCAACCCCCATTGTCTCTAAAAGAGCAACCGACCCATATTTTATGATTGTGGGAAGAAATCTTAACATAGGGATTTATTTTCTCAACTCGGGTAACTGAAGATGCCACCTAATCTTTTCCTGTTATGGCTGTTAATGCCGCCCTGTTTCTGTTTGTTCAGAAACTTTTACTTTGCATCACAAATCAACAAGATACAGAAGCCTGTAATTGGCCACAACAGCCTGAAAAGATCTAAATTGGATTGCTGATGGGACAGTGGGATAAGATTACAAAGATTATGGACAGAAAGAGAGAGAAATTCTTTTCTCAGATTGCATGTCCTTTAGAAAGGGCACACTGGAGACAAACACCCTCAACTTCAGAAAGTTTTAAAACTGTATTTCAGCTTTGCACCACTTCTGCATTTGCTCAATTCTGCAGGTATAAACTTAAACCCTTTAAATTTACTGATCCCTTCAGCCTCATACCTTATAAAAATATTCTCCTTTAAGCTTTTAATCTCAAGGGCATACTATTTCATGAGGGAAGAAGTAGTTTCATAACAAAGAGGGGTGCGCAGCTTTTTGCTCCAACTGAAGAGGTGCCCAGCACCTCAGATAAATACCGACTATGTCATACATCTTGCAGAATTTCATGCTCATGAAGAAATCCCCAGTTCTTCCAACCCTTTACCTGCAAGTCAAAGGGATCAACCCAAAAAGTGCACTTCCAAGCAACTGTGCTTGCAGAGAAAAACTGTGATGAAGGGAATTCACAAAGACAATCCCTCTACCCCAAAGTAAGGGAACAACTTTTTCCATTTTACTCGATTTTAAACTGCTTTTTTTTTTTTTGGCCAGGTTAATAACCAGAGTGCTTGGCATTACAGAGTCTACCTGGAATTACTTTGAATAATTAAATTAGTTACTAAAAATCCAATTTGCCCTTTCTCCACTACTCACATTCTAAACTTCCCATGTGCCAAACAGAGCAATGAGAATACAGCAACTGATTAAACTTTTTCATCTTATGCCAATACCATTCTGCAGCATTTGCTTTGATAATACTTCAGGGAAATTCTTTTGTTTCTAAAAATTTCTATTTAGAGTTTTAAAACATGAGAAAAATATCTGATAGAGGGGAAAACTTTCCTTCAAGTTCAATTAAGTGCGAAAGTGCAAATTTAGAAGATGGAATATATACTCTCACAATTATTAGCACAACACATGGATTTTCAAGGTTTTTCTGTGGTATATTATTCGAAGAAATTACTTTTTCTTTAGCTTACTTCAAAACCAAGCTAATTTAGGCTGTGTTTACAGAGACCTGCTGGGGCATAAGCAAATTTAAACAAAAATCTGCCAATTGAAAAGCATTCTTTGCACCATCTGTTTTCCCATTTGCTTTCCCTAAATTATAGTTCAGTGTAATACAGCTAAAGAGTTAGAAGACTGCCATTAATTTTAAAGCTGAGATTAAGTTAGTGAAGTTTCAATAGTAGTTTTCTTCAACAGTTTATTTTAGAGAAGTAAGACAGAATAGCTCTGCACTTACCAAGTGCACTTTGAACCGGTGCAATCACAGCATGGGGGAAACAGGGGCAAGCATCCTAAAACTGTCCTCTCTTGCAATTGTATAAACCAGAGATGATACTCAAGGAGTCAGCTGAATTTCTTCCATGGAAAACCACAATAAAGGAAGAAAGAAACAGAACTCCAAGACAAACAGTTCAGTTTGGAGCACAGTAACAAACCTGGAAGCCCTAAACAGGCACACTGCCATCAAAGAATACGAATATTTTATGTTACATTTTAAGGTTTGAAAGAATCGAAGGAAGGCTTCTGTATAATTAGGAATGTCATCCTTGCAATCAGTTGCAGTCCCTTTTTTTTAAAGTTAGAAGAGAACTATGGAACAAAAAGAGGAAATTCATCTATTAGATTTGAAAAATCCATAATAAACAATTTTCTAAAGACTACATTCAACAAATGTCAAATTTTCTTTATTTTTTTCCTAATGATAAACATTTTTAGTCACTTTTACCATATCACCAGATTACACTGAACAATGAAGAAAATCAGTGCTTCAGATGGAAAACACATAATTATTATTTAATGGAAAAATATTAATATTAATACAGTCAAAACTAAGCAGACTGACAGGAGCTGCTTGTTCTTATTCCAAAGTGCATTTAAAACATCTGTCTTCATTTTGGATTGCAACAAGGCACTTGGGAGTGCATGGACCCACCTTCCTTTAAACTCAATTCCCCAAATGTTTCAGCTTCTTACATA